CCGATGGAGACATCGGATGGGGAGGTGGGGGAGTGAGGGGCACCAGTAGGACTGGGTGGGGGGGAGTGAGGGGCCTTTCATTTTAATAACGGATATGGGGGTTTTATCAGAGAATCTGCAATTTTTTTATTGGGGAAAACCAAGGTCCTTGATTATAATTCAGTCTATAAACAGAATTTATAACTACACTCCTGTCTTGGTAGGTGAAAAAAGTTGTTCTGTACAAGACTCTCAGAAAGCAGAACAGTGACAAAATAGACATATTTTGTGGAGAAAATTTTTTTAAATTTTTTTTTTAAGGGCTGTTACTTGAACTTTTTAGTAGGTTAGGTAGTATATGGTTTCTGAAAAGTAAAAATATAACATTTGTTGAAAGGTCTGAAGTCAAACCTGTATCTTACAAAAAGCACCACAGAAGACAAATTGTACATGCCCTTATTGAAGTAATCCACAAATACCATATTTACTCGAATCTAAGACCACCTTGAATTTAAGATGACCCCCCCAATAATTAGATTTTATATAAGGGGGAAAATTAAAATGTTATAATAATGGTATAGAATCTACTTATTGGAGTTTTGTCTTGAATTTGTCCCCAAACTACTGCTACAGTAGGGAAAAGAGTGGCTGGGGGGTCAGGTGGCCTCTGCCCTCCCAACTTCTTCCCCCTGTAGCACCTTCCCTCCCCTGCACTGTCAGACCCCGCTCAGGTTCTGTTCCCTCCCTGAGCACATAGGAGTAAGGGGCTAGTATAAAATGCAAGGGGCTAAAAGCACCAATTTTGAAATAAACATACCTGTAGCAATTTTCATATAGATAAATTACCTTGGGTACCTATAGACTTAGTTCATCCAGAATTGTAGCAGTTTGGAAAAGGGTAAAATGCATCAAGTTTTAGCACACAACATCTATAAACACACTTTTGAGCAGCACTTTGGCACCTACTTATGTATAGTACAGACTATGGATGCTATTAGTCCAAAAAGGTTCATGGTTTATCTCGGTCTTTCAGCTCAGATTAAGTATAGTTCATTGGGCTGGGCTCCAGCAGTCAACCACATTTCAAGCCATGGTGACCCCACAGCCCAGCACTGTATGTGTGTGTACTCCAGATAAAGTACATGTTAAGCTCACCCTACCTGCAGTGTGCCAGGAGCCTAAGTTAGCCAGTTCTAGAAGATTTTAGTTTGTGATGATACACGGTAACTTGTGTGTTAGAAACAATCTGCACCTCTATCAATTTTATATGGCCACTTATATAAGCAAATAAATTGATGATAGAAGAGAATGGTGAAATACTATGGGAAAAGTAATGTCACATTCACAAAAAGAACTCATAAAAATTGGCTTTTGTCTAACGATTGCAATAATAATATTAGGGGTGTCTTTAACAACATACAGATTTTTTTAGATGTGTAATATTCAGCTGGATTGTTTCCCCTTAGGAGGCTTTCTATAAGGGATCTATTATTACTCACTAATATTTTAATATCCCATTAAAAATTAAATATATTATCCTTCTAGTTTTGTAGTCATTACAATGGTATTTAGATAACATTAGTATAATTTATGTGGTATATTTATTAGAAATTTGAAATGATTCCAAAGACATTTTCAGTCAAATTCTAGACCATATTTATTCCTTTATCAACTTTTTCTCAGTTGGACTGTTTACTTAAATGAGCAGAACACTGATCTTTTAGATAGGTCTAACAGATTTTGCTAATATGACATTTTAATAGCTTGGGTTAAACATATAACCTACGTTTTTAAAAATAATTGTCTAACAGGAATGTGACTGATAAGACTCATTGTGCTGTCTCAGAAACAGGCTCCAAAGCTAAAAAGCTCGGTAGGAAGAAGATTGTATTTATATAATTATCTGTTTTTCATTTTCTAAATATGTCATCCTGTTTGTGTTGCTAAGTGAAGGAAAATTGCAGTATAACGTCTTGGTTGCACTATCGTTACTTAGGGATTTTGTTTTTAGGTCAAGCTGATTGGCCAAAACCTCATTAATTCCACCCCAGTAAAGGTGCATTTAGCCAGAGTGACTGGTAACTTCATTTTCACTTCCCATTATTGTACATATCATACATATTTTACGTAGTGCTAGCAGGTATGAAAATGTTCAGCAGTAAAGTTGGCTTTGACTACTGGAATAGAATGATGCAATGAAATGGGACAGCAGAGAACAAACTAGATTTGTGTTGATAGGTTACTGTGGGAGATGCTTTACTTGTTAATATTAATGTAATTTGCACAGAGGAGACTTAGTATAATTTAGTTTTATAGGCTAATGATAAACATTGTAATCACTTCTTAAATGCCTGATAATGACTTGTGTTAATAATTTGTAATGCAGTCTTCAGGCATTTATGTGTAAGGTTTTCATGTTTTAACTTAAATCATTATCTGTTATCTCAAAGCTACTTATTAGCATACTTTAAAAATAAATCCAAGTAACAGTAAGGAAGGTATTATAAATGTCAGGGTAAGTATTGCATTGCATGCAAATTACTGCTCTCAGTCTTTTGGTATTGAGCTCTGTAAAAGCTTCCAGTAGTAATCAACTTTTGTTCTTGTTGCTTGTAATGTCTGCCTAGAAGCTAGGGCTACATTTTTCAGTTCCATATAAATAGGCAACAAAAATGCCCAGAAGAACTTAATCTAAATATAAAATGAGATGACTGATAAATACTGACAAATGGCTTAGGGACATGTACAGTTTCAATGTTTCTTCACTAAATAGTGGTGTAAGCAGGATTCACAGCCCCCTCTCTGTCTAACCATTGCATCTTCTGTAGGCATTGCAACTAGGTGGCTTTTAAGGAGAATGACATGATAGTGGAGCATTGTTTGTAACGTTATTTGAGCCATATTTTTAATTTTTTGCTTCGATTTAAAATGGAACCAAGTAAATTGTCAGAAAACTCATTTGTAAATGAATTAAAACAGAATATTCACAGTGTTTTTTAGAAAATATAGAGACTGTGGCCTTGCAAAGAATACTTAGTAATTCTAAAGCCATGGTTTTACATTGAATAGAATCAGTTTAATCTAATCCAGAGATATAAAAGTGGACCATTAAACTATTTAAAATATTTTGTAACTAGTACTTCGGAGAGCATGGAGATTCAGAATGTGCTATATTTTCTGTTGTTCACTAACGAGCCACTTTCTCATTGAGTTAATTGTGCTTGATTACCAACCTTGTCCAAATACCATGTACTGTTGCTTTTTTTTTTTTTTTTGAATGTTAGGATACCATTAAAATGGTTAGACTTTTACTCCAAAATAAATTCCAGGTATCATGTTGATTCAGAGAAGAGTCTTTGTTGTTCATGAGGATGATTTGTTATGACGGATCATATAATACCTTTTTAATAACCGGTACACTATTTTCTCTGAAGGCATCGCTGGCTTCACTCCATGACCGATGACCCTCCAACAACTCATCCACCAGTTGCTCGTAAATTCATCTGGGAAAACCATAAATTTAATCTGAGTGGTAGTTCTGGGCAATATGTCCCCTATTCTACAACTCGTAAGAAGATACAGGAGTGGATCCCACCTGCAACAGCTAGCAAATAAATACAAAGGTCTGATTTGTCTAGAATTAGACCCTTAATGTAAATTGTATATTAACTGAATTAAAATAAAATGGAAAAAAACCTCTGACAAAACTAAATGTTTATTTTACTGGGGATGGAGAACATCTTACAGACAAATGGGAAATACTGGGCAGATCTACATGTTCATTAATGTGCAGTAGTTACTGCATGTTTAATTTAGAACTTGTATAATCAAGTACTAAATGCTCAGTAACCAGAATTGCTGTGCAGCAGTGCCAGTGAATACTTTTAAGTGATGCTACTGCTCAGTAACCTAATAATACCGTGCAGCAGCATATTAGCACTGTACTGTGATGTGCTACTGCACAGTATTAGGCTATTGCGCTATAAGTGCTTTGTGTAAACACACCCACTGAAAAGAAAATTAGGTTAACAGAAGACAAGTAAATAGTATTTGAGTGTTACCTATAATGAGGGTCTCTTTCCTGTCAGGTATTTTTGTGTACCTTTTCTTCTTTGTGTTTTTTAAGTAAACCCTACTTCTCTTGCACACACTCTAACTTGCTATGACAATCATTGGGTTTGTTTTTTTTTCCAATTTCATAGTTTCCAAACAGGAATACGGATGAGTTGGAAACATGGCAGTGATCCTTCTGGGATGGCATGAGATGGTGCAGGAACAGCAATTCCTGCAACTGCTAGGGGTTGAAGTAGATGGTCCTTAGGGCCAGAAGGAACCCCAAATTTCTGTAAAGCTACATGTCCAAAGACTGTAATAGGAGAGAGGAATAATGAGGTGTTTCTAAGGAGTGTTCATGAGACTTAGTTTTAGGGAAGTATCTCTTTAAAATGTTATACGTACATATGAGCTATAAGGCCCATTGCTGATTTGAGGCTTTTTGTTTATAAATGACTTATACATAGATATTGCTACATAGCAGTCTGTCATGCAAGACAATAGAACAGTGTTTCCCAACCGGTGTGCCATCAGGTATATCTAGGTGTGCTGTGGCATTTTGGGCTGGAGCCATGCCCCCTGCCTGGCTGGAGCCACGCCCCCTGCCTGGCTGGAGCCACGTCCCTCACCTGCTGCCACTGTGGACACAGATGGGCAGCGTAGCTCCATCCCAAAATGCCATCTGGCTGACCGTGTGTCCCACCCCCAATGCACCTCCACCTGCCCCTGTTCCATATCTGGTGTGCCACAGTGCTTTTTTAATTGATTTAGTGTGCCGTGGGGTGAAAAGGTTTGGGAAACGCTGCAATAGAATGATGCTGAGCGAGAGCTCGCTGAATGTAATCCTTGCTTGAAAGATAAAGTGAAGCTGGAGTGGGTTCTCAAAGGCTCAAAAGCCTGGGCAGTGTATATGGATATACTGAGCTGCCTACGTACCAATATCTGCCCCTCAGCCTTGCTGGTTTAGTCCAAAGAAAAAGCATGTGCCCGTACATTTGCAGCCCACTTGGCTGCAAGAGGTGCTGGAGCAAAGAAGATCATCCATTTGTCCATCTAGCAGGGCTTTGCTATGTAGAATCATAGAAATGTAGGGCTAGAAGGAACCTCGGGAAAGCATCTAGTCCAGCCCTCTGCTCATGGCAAGGTTATCCCTACCTACTAAATTATTCTAGATGTGTTTTTTCTAACCTACTCTTAAAGGTTTTCAAGGGTGGAGATTCTGCAGCCTGTATAGGTAGGATTTCTTTTTGCCAGAACCCTAAAGGATTGGCACAGCAATTCATCCAATATGGTATCGAGTATGCACTCCACTCCTTGATGCCTCGAAATACAGTGGCATCACACAGACATTGGTTGACCTCTTGCATATGACTCAAGGCATGCGGTTGCTACCGCATCCAAGACATGGATTTTCTTGCGAGCAGGGCCCCTTTCCCTGTGTGACTCTATGGGGAGTTTCAGAGGAGAGCTTTCAGCTCTTCCTCCCTTGCTCTAGCTTCAAACCTGATCAATAGCTTTTGTGTCCACCAAATGAGCACATACTGAATCGTTGATAACAGGACTCCCAGAACCAAGACCACTGCAAGGGGGTGGGGTGTAAGACCACAGTAAGGATATGGGTAGGGGTAGGCAACCAACCAGCCAGCTTTTTCCACCAATGATGTTGAGTGGGGTTTTTTTTAATGTTTTGTAGGACTGAACATTAGATTTTTTTTAATCACAACAGAGGTCCTATCAGCTGTGTTCTGGACCTCCTTGACTTTTTGCTGTAGGATTGGATCTTGTCTGGCCAGGACAGGTGCCATTCCTAACTGTATTGTGTTAAAGTCCTTTTCCACATTCTTGTCACTGGGCATTATGAATTCTTTAAGATACTTGGATAAAACAATACTGTTGTGCCCCTGAATATAAATTCAAAATTACTATTGTGCCAAGGAAATAGGGTTTTTTTTGTTACGTTAGCCAAATTCATTATTGAAACCCGTTTTACACCTGCTATAGCTGCTAGAATTTCAGGGTACTTAGCTATAACAGGAGTTACAACAGTTGTTGTTGCATTCAAAGCTCTGAAGTCTGTTGTCAGTTTCCAGGTTTTCCCATCTGCCTTCAGAATAGACTAAATCAGGGAGTCTCACACACTAGGCATCTGTACTCCCTGACTTAACAAACTATTTTTTGTGGGTTGTAATTCTATTTCAGCCTCTAGTGAATATTTACACGGCCTTTGTGGGGGAGGGTTTGGTCCCTTACTCAAGATGCATGTCTGCATCTTGCCACATTTTAACTCTTTCTCTGCCTGAACCTTAGGAAAGACCTTCATTCACTTGTCATAATTAATCCTATCAGTTACCGTAAGACCCTTAATAGCTGACACTGAGTTTTTATAAACACCTTTTTTTGCCTTAGCAAATCTGTTAACACTTTCCTTTCCAGGACATCCGCACTATTGTTGGAGAGCAATGGAGGGTGGGGGGAAAAGTAACAAAGACATTACCATTATCAATGAAAATGCACACACTTATACTTCCAACAATCTTTCCACCTGGCAACACATACATTAGTAATGAACCAAAGCAGCCAAAAGAATGAGCAGGTATTCAGTAACTTTACTTATTCCCCATGTCTCCCCTTATTACACTCTAGACGGGGGCACGCATCGGGGCACATCCAGATGGATGTGCATGAGCTTGTGGCATCTCAAAACAGTTTGAGATGACACAAGAGGCACGCTAAGAATGAAAAATTGTTCCCTGCACTGTGTTTGAAGCACAGACTCTAAATTTGGTACTAGGAAATCCTGGTATCAAAAAAAAGTGCAAAAAAAGCAGCATAGGCTGAGTTCTCCAGAGAGATGGTCTGGCATCTAGCCAGAGCATCTCTACGGTGACCCTACTGCCCCAGCATGCTGCTGGGGCAAATAGGAGTGGGCCAAGGCTACAGCGGTGACCTGGACCCAGGCACTGTCCCAGGTAAGTAAGGATGTGGGGGTTGAGGGGGAATGGGACTATATGGTTTTGGGGGGGGGTTATGGGTGGGCAGGCGTGGGGAATGGTGGTGGGGTGGGGTTTGTGGGAGGAAGCTTGAGGTGGGGGGTACCACATGCCCAACACCCCCCCACACACACACACACCTACCGCTGTGATGCACAGTCCCTGGTTCTGGCAGTAGCAGCAGCCAGCTGGGCCGTTGGGGCCATGGCCTGCTGCAGGCACAACCCCGCAGTGGTGCAGCACCACCTGAGCCTTGGTCTGCACATGGCAAATGGACCTGGCCTGGCCTACTCTGCTAGCACACACCTTTGAGCAAAACCAGGGTAGTTCTTATCCAAAGTCATGCTCTAGCAGGACAGTCTGGGCCAGCTCTGTTCACCATGTGCAGATCCCAGGTCAGGTGATGCTGCACCGCTGGGGGGCTATGCCTGCAGCGGGCCATGGCTCCTATGGCCCAGCTGGCTGCTCCTGCCAGTGCCAGGAGCTGTGCGCCATGGGGTGTGTTGTGGGGGTGCATGTTGTACCCCCCAAAACCTTCCTCTCAAACCCCATACAGCCACCCACAAACCCTACATCCTCCCCAACCCCCACATACCTCCCCCCCCCACCACAAACTCACCCAAGAACCCAACACCCTCCCCACCACATGCTTCCCATTCCCCTTCTTCAAATCCCACATCCCCCTGCATCTCACCCTGCATGCCCAGCTGCCAGGCAGCATGGGACCTGCTGGCAGAAACTGTGGCTGCAGGGGCAACTACCCCCACATCCTGGTTAGTGAAGGGGTCAGGGGGAGCTCTGATTTTTCTATGATTAAAAAAAAAAAGCAAACACCAAAGCATATAAATATTTAGAATTTATTTTATTAAGATGGTAGAGGCACTGGTAGGCTTCCAAATTGCTTTAAAATTGTAAATATATCAATAAAATATTGCCCAACTGATATTTCTTTCTCTCTCAAGTGGTGTTCCATTTTAATCATGGTAGAACATGGATTTTGGGGTATTTTAAAGAGTGGATTTGGGATTTTTTTTATCAGAGAATTTGCCATTTTGGGGACACCAGGATGGTAGTAAGGCAAGTGGCAGGACCCAGGCAGAGAAGCCTGCCCAGGGCTGGCACCAGGAACCCAGCTGGAGGGCAGATAAGGTGGCTGACCTCCTGGCCATTTGGGACCAGGAGGACATGCACTGACTGTTCAAAATGGGCCACCACAATGAACACATTTTCCAGGCAAGAGCTGCCTGGACAGGGGCACACATGGCAGCAGTGCTGCACAAAGGCCAACTGTGCAACCACAGCCCACTGGCAGCTGGCCTAGAGGTGCAGACGGCTCTGCTGCAGTGCCTATGCCACAGCCCAGGTGGCTATGTGGTCCCTATCCAGGTCTGGTAGGTATGCAGACATGGGGCTGCAGGTTCAAGGGGGAAGATGCTGTCATAGGTGGCATCAGGTCACAGTCAGGCAGCAGCCCCCACTGCCAAACTACTGCAATTGGTAGAGGGTGTAGAGGCCACTCTAGGGCATGGCTGCTGCAGCAGTCTGGCTGGCACAGGGGGCAGTCCAGTTGGCACAGTCCCCATATGTCAACTGCCTAGGCCTCAGAAGCTCCTAAGAGCAAGTAGCCCTGAGCTGCTTACCAAGGCAGCTTTTTATACTGCTTG